AACAATGCAGTACAATCCCACTGCAAGACATATTCATATGTTTAAAAACAACTATCACTGTAAAAAAAATATTGTTTGTGTAACTTTAAAAAAAAATGAAGTAACCTGATTACCTTAAAATTTTAAGTACATTGAAATGGAAAAATTGAGTTAATTCAATGAAGGAGATTGATTTAACCATCAGAAACTCAAAATATTATGTTATCTGAACTACATAAATTATTTAAGTTGATTTGACAAAAGAAAAAAATGTTGTGATTACAAATCATTTTGCAGTGTATATTGAATATACCATCTATTTTAAAAATTAGGAATGTTGAATAGTATAAACTAATCTCCAACCAAATTTCAGGCATCACTACAAACAAAACAACAGTCTCTGAGAGTTTGTGAAAAGTCAATCTTTTAATTTAAATACAATTTAAGCTGTAACATAAAAGCCGATTAAACTAGAGGTCTTACAGAACAGTACTTTGTGCATTTATATATTTAGTCATATATTTTTCAAATGTCATAAAACAAGACTGAAGGTTTGTCAAAACAATGTGAGGAACCGAACCTAGATGGGCCCAAAAAGATCCGGAAGAGTCCAAAATATGTTTGGGGTCACCCGTCGTATACACCAGCTCTTCCATCACTTACATTAAAACAATCGTCATAAAGTATGTCTTTTACATAAACAAAAACAAAACACGTACTTATAAAAAAACCAAAAAAAACAGAGTGGCTCTGTTGTCGTAATATTAAACTAGTCATCGCCTCCAAGGGTTTAAAAGCCAATGGGTTACAATAGAAAATATAGCGATCTGCTTACTCGTAATAAAAATCTATCGTGTGTCTACCCGTAAAGGGTTTAATAGAAGTTTCCAATGTAAAACATTCCCCTTGTCTGTCCGTGTCATCTGACGAAAGCCACAAAAATATGTTATAGCATCATATGATACGACGATATTCAGCTTGTCTATCTTTGGTTTTCTATTCATTCAAAGACTTAGTGGTACATAAAGCAACATAGTATCAAATCTAGAGATTGCACATCTATAACCATTGAAAGGGATAATTCTGGTAACAATCTACACGGAGTAAAAAACATAAAGATATCTATAATACATGCCGTATCAAGAAGCGATTTGAAGGAAGGGCTTTTAGCACTTAGTAATATTCCTGGACTATTTTATGCAGCATATACAACAGCAAACACAAGAGAGGGCCTGAAGTCGGTGCAGTTCTGAAGTCACCTTTGCGAACATGCGTCCCGCTCTACAATCTGCATATCTGTCAGGTGGTTTGTAGCACATTCTGGGAAATCACTGTTCAACTCACCGGATCTGTGAAATGGTGAATAACGCGCGGTTTCGCTTTGCAGGACTGGAAGTTCTTGAATTGACGGGGGCCAACAAATCTAAGAGTCTGAAATAAGTGCTGGAGGGTTTAACACATGGGCATCTCTGAAGAGAAAAGCGGCCGCGTTCTCCTTGGTCCGGGCCGAATGAGGGGAGGAAACGGAGGAGGGCGAGAGGGGTAGATGGAGGAAGAGGATCTGCCCACCGGCAGTCGTCTCTCCAGAGCTGTGGGCCACTCGATCACAGCCGCCATCTTTAGGGCTCGGGATCGCAGCTCCCTCAGAGTGAGCTTTACTTCTGTTGGGGAGACATTCACACACACATGTCATGCACTCAAAAGTTTGGGGATGGTGAAACGCAATGTTTTTAAAATATCATGACATTTTATTACGGATTTCTAATGTCAAATATATTGTTTTTTTTTTTTTTCCTGTGATGCACACGTGATCCTTCAGAAATCATTATTGTTGTTATCAATACTGAAAACAGCTTAAACGGATAGCTCACTTTGAAATTAATTTTTGGTATGTTTTAGCTTTCCTCAAGGGCATCCAAGATGTAGGTGTCTTTCTTTCAAATTTTGATATTTTAAGGTCAAACCGTTCTTGTCTGTCAGTCATATAATGGAAGTCTATGGTCACCACCTCAAAGAGCATGCACAGAGAAGTCCAAATTAAACATGATTTAATGACTCGTAAATGTAAGTACACATTGATGGCCTAAGACACGAAACGAGCGGTTTGTGTGAGAAAACGAACAGTATTTATATAGTTTTTACCTCTTGTAACCACAGCCACAAAGTGCTCACAGCCTCAGATCACAAGGTTACAAGAGGTAAAAACGATATAAATACTGTTCGTTTTCTCACACAAACCGCTCGTTTCGTGTCTTAGGCCATCAATGTTTACTTACATTTACGAGTCACTAAATCATGTTTAATTTGGACTTCTCTGTGCATGCTCTTTGAGGTGGTGACCATAGACCTCCATTATATGACTGACAGACGAGAACGGTTTGACCTAAAAATATCTGTGGAAACAAAGACACCTACATAATTAATTTAATTAAGTTCAAAAGTGAACTATCCCTTTAATATTTTTGTGGAAACCTTTTTTTGTGTGTGTGTGTGTGTGGGGGGGGGGTTCTTTGATGTATAGAAAGTTTACTTTTATATTAATTTGAAAGAGAAACATTTATAAATGTTTCAACTGCCACTTTTGATTTTTTTTATATCTCTCTTTTTGGAATTAAAGCATTTTTATGCACATTATCTAACCTGCAGCTGGCCATTAGGGGTCTCTTTCCTTCTTCACCTTCACGTCTCCGGCCAGGATGGTGGAGATCTCGCCTTGCATGAAGGCCCAGGGCACGTTGGAGCCCACGAGGGGGCACTTCTCCCCGCTGGGGCAGTACACCTCGCTCCCCGAGCCCTGTCTGCGGATGAAGTCTCGGGTGCAAGGGAAGCAGAACTTGTGCCCGGGCACCGATGGACACTGGACGAAGTGTGTGTCCTCCAGGCGCTCGTGGCAGATGGTACAGCAGAGAGGGGCTCCTCCTACGGTTCCTCCTGAGCCTTCAGCTCCCATAACAGCGCTCTGGTCGGCGAGGGGGACGGTGACGGTCGTGGTCGGCCCTCCCGAGCTACTGCCGGCCGACGGTTCCCCGTTGCGCGACGCTAGCCGCCGCTGACCGCCAGCGGGTGAAGGACTGGTGCTGTTCTGCCGGCCTGCGTTCGCAGAGTGGCTTCCGCTGCTGCCCGGGGCATCTTTCGGGACGGCAGTGCCAACGTTGTCAGCCACGCTCATGAGAGCAGTGATGGGCGATGGGTCGCTACTGTGGGTCTCTGGAGGCTGCCCTGAGCTGGCTAGCGACGTAGCGGGCATGTGGCCGGGAATGCCAGGGTACACGAGGGACCAGTGCTGGCGGATCTCCTCCGAGATCATCCTCTCGGCGGCTTCCGGCTCGGGCGAGGCTTTGCGTCGGCGTACTCGCGGCTGCGTGGGACGGCCGATGTGGCAGAGCGCGGTGGGCAACATGGAGCAGCTGGCGTCCAGGTACGACTGCGGGAGGGCGTCCGGGGCTGGCGCGTCTTTGAACGCTCGCACCGCGTCGCTGAGAAGCTCTGAGAGGAGACGCCAGTCGCCGGTGCCATGCCTTTTCTCATACTCCACGTACTTGTAGCCCGAGTTAATGACCTTGCCAGTGTCTTTCTGGGAGTCGTGAAACATCTGTTTGACTAGCGCTAACACGCTGGAGAACACGTTACCTGAGCCGCACGGGTACTCGACGAAAACCTTCAGCTCAAACTCAACCATCAGCTTGGCGTCGAAGGCGAACACCCTCCCCACCAGGCCGTGGTCCTTCTTAAAGCGGACGTTAAACGGGGTGCAGCTAGAGAGGGTGTGCAGGGCGTCACGCATGTGTTTGGGGCGCCCCGGCCACTCGTCCGTGCGGTTCCTCACGCTTTCGGAGAGCTCGCTGAGGGCTTCAGCGTTCCTCTGCTTCTCCTTAAGCTCCCTTTCAAACTCAGGGCTCATGAAGGATGCCACACCCACGTTCATGCCCATGCCCAGTGCCTGTCTTTTACTGATCTCGTTCAACATGGGAGCAGAAATGGTCAAGGGGGCGCCACCGGTTCGGGCATTCAGACCAGGCATGGCGGTCAGCAGACCGTGAGGGGCTCCGACAAGCCCCTGCGCCATTAAACTGGGTGGCACAGCCCCCACCAAAGGCCTCCTGGCAGTGGGACTCTGCCTACTAACCTCAGGCGGACCACCGTCCTCCAGTCTAGGCAGTCCGTTGGGCAGCCTGCCGGACACATATTCTCCCCTTCCCCGATCATATCGCTCGGAGGGCGGTCTACCGGACTCCATAGGACCCTCCTTGCCAGCGGGACCGTGTTTACCGGCGGGCTGCGGACCCGGAGATCTGCCGTCCTGCATCACGTGTGTTCGCTTGAGCTGCCGCGCCGTGTCGATGAGCAACTCGATTCTGTCCGCGCCCTCGTAGTTCACACAGCCTCTGCACACGGCCTCGCTGAAGTCCCAAATCATGGCCCAGGGCATCTTTGGCAGGTCGCAAAGGTAGCACCATTGTCGCCTGGAAGATGCCTGCGAGGAAGAGGACATATTTGATAGGCCCTCGCGATCTTGCGTTCTCAAATCCACCCTGAATCCTTCTCACAGTCAGCCTCCGAGCGTCTGCGGTCGACGGTTTCCTCGTTACGGACGACTATATACAACTGCGTCGGATTTTGTGTCATTCAGAATCGAGGTGTTTGATGTTTCTGCCAAGTCGCCTGGGCCGCAGAGTTTCTCCTGGAAGACGTTCCGAAAGTTACGCAACTCTGAGGCGTTGAATTCTGGGAAGTGTAGTTTTGTACTGCTGAACGCGCGCTTCTCTCGTAGTGCTTTTCCCTGAAGGAACCTATTTATTTTTTATTTTTTTAAATAATACCCCCTGATATTTATGGAAGAGAGGCATCAGTCATCACATTATCTTTTTATTGTTAGGCTCACTTTATATGTAAAACAATTAATTTTATTATATTTATTGCGAAAAATAATTTGTATGTATTTATTCTATCATTATATTATTTTTTAAAAAAATATTTAGAATATATTTTATATATTTTTTTATTTATTAGATTTATCTCGAACTACAATGACATATGGAAACATCATTGGCATGAGCATGGTTTAGTCAAATAAAACTAAACCACTCTAGCAATATGGATAAATGTGAATAATTACAATACGTTCTTGCAAAAAGGTTATTCGACTCTAATTCCCAGTCTACAAATGGTTAACGTCACGTCCGCTATTCCTAATGACGTGTTTCAAAAACTTCCGGTGTTATATTACAGAAATGACGTTCCATGTATCAGCGTCGATCTTTTGTTGTTTACTGTTTTAACTAGTTGATTCTGTTTATAAGATGATATATAAACGTTTGATTTCTAAAGCATAACGCTGCCATGTTCGAAACGCCTTTTATTTAGCATGAAAGTCGTGTAAACAAGTTTATTTTATTTTTATTTTTAGAGTTTGGTTAATATTTGCTGCGGGAAAACTGCATCAATTCTCTTTAAATTATTAACAGGAAATGACTGAACAGTCTATATGCAAATATACTGGTTGAATAAATAATTATTCATATTATACAGTACACAATAATATCCTCTCCAGGATAACAACAACATTAAACGAATGGCAAAAAATACAGTGGGCTTGTGAAAAACAAAAACAAACAAACAAAAAAACAATTTTGCTTTCTTTTTGTGAGTGATGTTATAGTTTTGAATGTTCATTGTTATTTTGTGTTATCTGTGGATCAAGATCCGTATATTTCTCCTCCAGAATGGCAGAAGGCGGCCGGCTTGTGTTTGTTTCTGTTGCAGATTTACAGTAATGCTTACAGACTGTGTACAAGCCTTGCACGAGAAAGAGCACAGAGATGATGCTGTAGTAACCTCCATATACAAGAAACTGTAAAAGAAAGGCCAAAATGCAGGTTTATACAAACATTCGAACCATGCATGGTTATTCTTTACCTCTCATGAAAATATTTTAACCCTATAAATCCTACTGTTTTCATATTTTATACATTTATTTCTATGGCCTCTGAATGATCAGCTTTGCTTAAAAACCTGTTGCACACAATCTACTACATGCCTTCTGTCATCTGATTGATAGTTTACAGTTTTCAAGCAAGTAAAAGGTTGTGGGTCAATTTATAGGTCTACTGATTTTTATAAAGTAAACGATTGATTACAGGACTGTAGAAACCTAAGTAAACCTGATCAGGCATACAGCATTTTATTTTATTTTTTTATTATAGAAAATCATGTTAAAATGTGAGTATGAAATATAAAACATCAGGCTATTATATATATATATATATATATATATTATGTCTAGGTTCAATAAACTTTTTGTTTTCGAGGGGAAATAAATCTGACTATTATTTTAGGCGTTACAGGGTTGAATTTCACTATAAGTATAGTGAGAGCTTACCTGTGTTGTGATGTCCAGTCCCAGGGCTGAATTGTCCACCACAACAGCAGTCAGTATAGTTTGAAGTGTAAGAGCAACAAAAGTGTTAATGCCAAAAGTTAAAGCATAACATTCCATAGAGAGGTTAAGTGCGATCTGAAACCTTCCAGCAAAAAGGGGGAAAAGAGAAGAACGTACAAGTCAGTCAAGGAGAAAACAAACCAACTTTAGTTCACCTGCTGCCTTAAATTTAGATTTTTTTTAAGTACAATCAAAGCAATTTCAACGTATAACAAATTATATTTGCTTAACTGATGTTAACATGAGTTAAAGTATAATGTAAAAACACGTTTTCAAGATATGTGTGTTGATTATGTATTATATATTTTTTAAATTAGTGTAATTATATATATATAAATATATATTAAACTAATTAAAAATATATGATATAATTAAGATATATATATATATATATATATATATATATATATTTACATTCATTCATTTAGCTGACACTTTTATCTAATGCGACTTACAATTGCTATGTCAGAGGTCACACACCTCTGGAGCAAAATAGAAGTTAAGTGTCTTGCTCAGGGACACATTGGTGTCTCACAGTGGATTTGAACCTGGGTCTCTCACACCAAAGGCATGTGTCTTATCCACTGCGCCATCACCACCCCATATATATATATATATATATACAATTATTGTGTAATGACTAACTTACATTGTGATTGTGATGAGGAACATGTATGACGCTTTGAAGACAGCGTAGCCTGTGTAACACAGCCAGATATTGTCAGTGAAGGCCATGAGAAACACACACCCTGCTCCGATGGCAGAGAACCCCCAGAGAGAGCTCGCCCCACACCCCCCACTGGACTCTGATATAACCCACGGAGAACGCTGCAGCTGCACCTGAAAGCAACAGTCACAACATCACACACAATAATGCCAAATCTGGGAACAAAGAAGATGCATATTCGGAAGACAACAATTAAATCTGAGAAATGCATTTAGACTCATTTTTATTCTCTATGGTACTCAGTACTATTCTGTTGCCTTTGTTTGAATGTTCTTGTCAAGACACCAAACCTGAGAGACATTCTTTTCTGCTGCAATTAAAGTGACTAAAACCCCATACTGTTGTAATTGCTTAAATTATCTTCCCAACACAAACCGACTGCTGAATTCCTATGCACTGTGCATAACAATTAAGCGTTAGAAGGCTTCTGCTCAACGCATATGATGATTCAATGTATGGTTTGTGGATTTTGGTTTGGTTTCCCAATAGTTCACGCATATGAGGGAACGGCAGGGGGTTCATGAGTTGATGAAAAGCTAATATTTCTATCGAATGTAAAAAATAATATATACAGTATAAATGTAGCTGCAGAATGAATTGAAGTAAAACTAATATTTTAGCATAGCGCGATTATTAAATCAAGGGCAGCTGTTTTTTTTATAACATAATTTTAAAATTACAGTTAAAAAAAAATTAAAATAATAATCTGTGCAGACCTATGCGAAGAAAAGAAAGAAATACGCTCCCCACTAAAAGTGGTAAGATATTTTAAATCTTATTTTATAATTAATCAACATTAGAGAACCATGACCTTGCAAATATGTCAATACATTTTTGAAATATTAAATTAAAATCTAAAACTTTGGGAACCTCTGGATATATTCTGCTATGATTCACTTTAATGATAATGGCTTGCTTTATTACATTTGATAGTGTTTATGGTAAATACAATCTTTGAGTTCAGAGTCTAATCAAATGGCTCACCTACAAGTGTGCAGACGGCCTCCACTCCCCCATTATACACAGATGCAGTGCTGGAGGGCTCGATGTGGTCCCACATCAGCTGGACGTAGTTGAAGACCTGTCCATATCCAGCTGTGGCCAGAGCCCACCAGAGGGACCACTGCACCACACTTCTGGACGAGTAGGTTTCTCTGAAACTCTCCCACATTTGTTTTCCGGACGTTTTAATAATGTTTCCCCAAGCACAGCATCTTCCTGTAGCCTCCTTTGCTATGTCTGTCCCTCCAACCTCGTTCAGATCCACCTTCTTCTTAAAAAACACTCCATTTTGAGGCATTGGCAGGACCAAAGAAACACAGAAAGCCACTGCCATTAGACCTAGAGTAATCGTGTTTACATGGAAGTAGCTTGTGCCGGCTAACGATATTAACAGCTGGCCTAATGTGGCTCCAAAGGTATAGCCAGTCAGCATGGCGCTGCGAACGTACCCCGTGGCGCGTTGGTAGCGCTCAGGAGGTATGACGCTGTAGATATATGAAAAATAGGCCACTTCGGTGGAGGTGACCATTGCAAAGTTGAACTGTAGGTAGGTTAGAGCGGACAAGCTGTTAGCAAAACACAGAATTATATAATTTATGACAAGAAAAAGGCCTTGAACTACAATTAATGGTTTGTATCTAAGCAAATCTGTCAGTAGGAAGACTGGGCAGAGCACTGCCAGATATGAGTACGTCCAGATAGGAAACAGGTAGTTTGTTACCTAGATGAGAGGAAAGAACATAGTGTTAAATTGCATAACAGACATTATTAAGCTAAAACTGATTAAGAGGCTTAGTCATGAATGGATTAATCATATTATGAACTGTTTTACCTTAATTTTAAGCTGCTGATATTTTTTATAGATGATTATTGTGATTATTATGCCATATCTGGGCAAGGTTTTTAAGAGCTCCTATACATCAGCCTTACAAAATCCAATCAATACAGTCATCCTTCATCGTTTCTATTGTAGTGAGAGTGTTTGCAAAACTACTAAATTGGAAATTGTGCTGTGTGCCTTTTCTGTTAAGTTTACTGACCCTCAACCCTATAGCACAATGTAATGCGTAAATTGAAATGTGAGAGTGAAACGACTGATAAATCAGTGTGGAAAATTCCTTCATGTTAATTAACACAATATTGTGTTAAGCCCCTACTTTACAGTCTATATTGTGATATCTGAGCCCTTAAACAATCTCTAAGCTAATATATAAAAGTAAACAAATCAATCCTCACCACTTCCTCTGAGATGTTTTTGGGTCCCACTAAGTAAGGTGTAAGGAAGGGCTCTGCGGGTCTGCAGTTGGCAAAGAAACCATAAAGAGAGAGTAAAACAGTGGGGAAGACCCAGTCTGACCTCTTCATTTTCCTCCAGAAATTCATTCTTATCTCCCTGTATATTCACTGCCACAAGATTATGTCTCTCCTTTTAGGTCTAGGAACTGTTGGTTTGTGTTTTTGCTGTGTAAAGTAAGCCAAGTCCAGTCCCTGAATCCCATGTAAAGATCCTGTGCATTGCTGGTAACCGAACATATTTATGATGAGACTTTGATCTGTGCTTCTACGCCCTAATTGTTGTGTTGTGCGAACATGAGTGTGTGTGTGTTGACAAAAAAAGCGTTGATAACTTCACATTGTAATCATTTAACCAATATTAATGATGTATCATTGTTATTTAACCCAAAACAAGTCGATGTTCATTTAGGCTAGTCTACATCAGAGAAAAAAACATGTTTCAAATAAATAGCAATACAATAAAAACAACAGGTAGGCTGTATGACCAGCGTAGTTTGGTAAGATTCAGGAATCGATTATGCAATTGAGTCATCTGCAGTGTGCCAATTTATGTAGGCTAATTTGGAGTTGGAAAACGTAAAATTATAAGATTTTTTTTCAACCCAAATTACATTTTATGAGTAAATATAATTATTCTATGTGGTGTTTATATCGAATAAATTCGTACAATGTAATTTGCACGGAAACCGACCTTGAGCATGCGCAGTACGCACCACATGTGTCTCGTCACCATAGTAACGGTGTACAGGCTTCAGTGTCGCGATGAGACTGAAACGGCTACACATACGATACTACCCACCAGGTAATATACACGTTTAAAGTTTTACATTGCATACTATTCCCGTCATACCGTTTTGTTGAGTACCTGAAAAGCTCGTATTTACAAAAGAAAGCTTGTTTTGTTGCTGTGCAGGAATATTCCTGGACTATGAGAAAGGGGGGGAGCTAAGGACGAAATCCATCGATCTGTTAAACTTGACACCAGAGTAAGTATGATGATTATCAAACAATACTAAAAAATACAACTGTTCATTGTTATTTTATGTTTGCTCTGGTGAGTTAAATAATAATGATAGATAAGCCTACAGGTTTTTTGTTTTTGTTGAAATTAACATTATCTACGATTAATAAATACACTTTAGAATTACCAATGTAAGTTACTAGTCGTAGTGAAAAATTGGAACCTACCACTGTTTATGTTTACTAATGTTAACAAAGATGTTTAAATAGTCTAACAAACTAACATTAACATGACCTTATTGAAAGTGTTACCTGTATAACTGACTTTATGTGCTGAAGAAGTGTGTATTTTCCTCCTGTAGGACTGATGTGAATGAGCTGCTGTCAGACATCCGAGCCGCAGAGCCTCTCATCACCTCATCCTGTGTTGAGCAGGTGAAGGTCCTGATCTGCAAACTACAGGAGAAAGTCGGCCAAAAGGATGAACGCAAGTTCTACCTTTTCAGGGTACTAATAAATACTGACCTCAATGCTCAAACATATTTAGGCCATGCATACTTCATCTACTTTAGATATTGTTGTGATACCTGGCCCAGCTCCAGCTTTGAGGTGTTCCTGGTGATTATTGATTAAATATTGTTTTGCTAAATTTTACTATTTTATTTTTATGACAAAAGGGGCAAGTTTGAAAGGGACTATTAATAACTAGGGGTGTAACGATTCCCTCATGTCACGATTCGATACATTTCATGATACGATATTATTGCGATACTCCAAAAAAAAGAGATAAAAGGTTAACAAAAAATGTGCTATTGATTAAAATTACATTGTGGGTGTAAATGAATAGGGTTGGACTTATGGAAACCCAATACAGGACAATAGAGAGACGAGAATAACAATATTTATGATTCTATAGTCTTATTTTAGACGAATATTGTTGCTCTCTTTCACTGACTAGAAATATTTAAAATAATTTAGGCTCCTTTTTACTGATAACATTAGACATTTGGCATTATTAGGACCCCCAAATATCCCCCTCATTGCATTATTATACATTATATTCAACATTATATATGTAGTACTCTAAAAATCGAAGAAATCTTGGGTGAATTAAACACAATACATATTGTCACTATCCACGATGCATATATTGTTACACCCCTATTAATAACACTGCTATTACTTTATTGGTTGCACTTTATTTTAGTGTAATTATACATTTAAGTTCTGAGTAGAATGAATTAACTACATGTACTATAGGGTTAGGGAATTGGATTAGTGTCAGTTGCATGTAATCATGCCTAATTTATAGTTATTACCAAGGATAAAGTGTTATCCTATTTTTAGAAGCACAAATTATAAATTGTGTGCTCATGTTTAGCTTCCTGCTGGTTTTAGAAAATTTGATGATTAATCAATTAATTAAACGGATAGTTCTGTCAGTAATTACTCTCCCTCATGTCATTCCAAACCCGTAAGACTTTCGTTCATCTTCAGAACACAAATGAAGATATTTTTTGATGAAATCTGAGGCTTTTATTTACACATAAATATTCTAAATAAACATATAAACCTCTGATCAATGTTTATGTGAATCAAAGCCTAAACTGTTCGTCGTATAAAGCGATCGAGTCTCTTCAGAAAATTTGGAGTAAACTGCTCAATTCATATGGACTAGTTTTATGATCTCTTTATGAGCTTTTTGAAGCGTCAGAAAGATTTTGAAGGAACAGAAAGCTCTCAGATTTCATCAAAATGATCTTCGAAGATGAACAAAAGTCTTACGGGTTTGGAACGACACAAGGGTGAGTAATTAATGACAGGATTTTCATTTTTGGGTGAACGATCACTTTAATCTTCAAAATTAAACGTCATAAATGTCAATTATTACTGTTATCAATTTATGGAATATTAAGTTATTTCATATCAGTTGGGGAATACAACGGTTAAAGAACATAAATTTAAAACATTTATTATTTATACATTTATTACATTTTGTGTGCAGAATGTAATGAAAGAAACGGAACAAACTCTGTATTATAATTTAGTTGATTTTTCATTCAATTTCATTCCAGTAATTTAAAGCGCTATCCTGCTTGTTATCTGATAGTATGATAAAAAGGATCAGGATGAAATGATCAGGTTGTTAACAGTTTCCCACCTTGTTTATCTGATTTCATGATTTGAACATCGCACCAAATTTTGTATTCGGTTATTATTTGGGCCTTTTCCATACCACCTCATACCTCATGCTTATTTAAATGATGATCTGAAGACATTTGCTCTGATCAAGTCCTCTCATATCGATATTACCCACAAGATGGCAGCAGAGGGAAAACTTCTGTTTTTGTAGATCAAAGGCATAGTAATTATGTTGTCCTCTGTTTTCGTCCACAGGCACTACAGGCTCACATTTTGCCCCTGACGAATGTAGCCTTCAATAAATCAGGATCGAGGTGAGTTTATCAGCTGTGCTCACATGCCTGCTCCCCCTCTCATTCTGCCTCTCTCCCTCACTTTCCGTCTGTTTGCAGTTTTATAACCGGAAGCTATGACAGAACTTGTAAAATATGGGACACCTCATCCGGAGAGGAGCTGCACACTTTGGAGGGTCACAGGAACGTTGTGTATGCCATCGCCTTCAACAACCCTTATGGGTAACTAACAGCACCGCTGTGTCGCATTTGATCATGGCTTACTCTTAATCTCTGTGAAGTCGAGAATAGCCCTCTCAGTGTCTTTCTGCAGGGTTAGGGCACTGCAGGGTAACTGGTGTTGTTTTTACGATGGGACCATTTGTCAGCTTGAGTCATAACAGGAGCCCTTTTCCTTTTTTCTCTCTTGCTCTCTGTCCCCTTTTCTCACTCGCTCGCTCTTTTCTCTCTCTCTCAGAGACAGGGTTGCCACAGGCTCCTTTGACAAGACCTGCAAACTGTGGAGTGCTGAAACGGGGAAGTGTTTCTACACATTTAGAGGGCACACCGCAGAAATCGTACGTCTGCATTTTCACTTCCCTCTAAAACCCAGCATCGCTGTTTTCCTGCAATTACACTAGTCTCAGCAGTTTGAAGAACACTTCACCCAAAAATGATCATTCTGTCCTCATTTACTCACCCTCATGTTGTTCCAAAAACCTGTATGACTTTCTTTCTTCCAGAGATATTTTAACGTCAATATAGGATCATCAATTTTACATCAATAGGAATAATAGCGTACAAGTTATATCAGGTATTTTTATGATGCTATTATGTTTTTTTTTTTTGCACAATGTTGGCAATTAACTTTTGCTGATAACTTACTCACCTCCATGTCATCCAAGATGTCCATGTCTTTCTTTCTTTAGTCAAAAAGAAATTAAGGTTTTTGATGAAAACATTCAAGGATTTTCTCCATATAATAGACTTCAATGGGAACCAAACGGGAGTTTCAGTGCAGCTTCAAAGGGCTTTAAACGACACCAGATGATGAATAAGGGTCTTATCAAGCGAAACGATCGCTCATTTAAAAAATAAATAAAAAAGTTTACGTTTTATAAGCACCAATGTTCGCCTTGCTCTGTTCTGTGATGAGCGTTTGTGACTCTCCTGTTTGAACTCGTTCATCAAAATGAACACATTTTTTTTCGAGGGTCTATGACTCGAAGGGTCATAGATAAGACCCTTATTCATCGTCTACAATTGTTTAAAGCTGCACTGAAACCTCATTTGAACCTTGAACCGTTTGGTTCCCATTAAAGTCCATTATATGGAGAAAATTGTGGAAGGTTTTCATCAAAAACCTTCAACTGAAGAAAGAAAGACGTAGACATCTTGGATGACATGGGGGTGAAAGGTGAAAAAAAGTGAACTACTCCTTTAAATACCATTGTATATTTTGTCCATAACGTGGAAGTCAGTGGGAACCAAAATTGTTTGGTGACCCACATTGTTAAAAAAAAGTCCACAGAAGAAAGAAAGTGGAATGACATAAGAATGAGTAAATTTTTTTTTTTTTTTGGGAGGGGACACCTAACACCACAACTTTAGGGGGCCTAAACTGGGTTTCACCAAAAGACAACAGTGCAAATGGAAAGTTATGAGACTAAAGTGGACCAAAATAAGATCCAATACACTTTCAAGGTCAAATGCAAAGAGCATGTTTATTTTATATATTTTAACTGAAGAAATTAAAATGGCTGGTGAAATTAGGCCATATATGGTGATCACCAATTTAAATATGTTGAACAAACTGTGGCGAGGGGTTTGTATAATGCTTATATGTTCGATAAATCAGAAATACGTTCTCTAATGTTCTGTGTGTGTCAACTGCTAGGTGTGCCTGGCCTTTAACCCACAGAGTACCCTGGTTGCTACGGGCAGCATGGACACCACGGCTAAATTATGGGATGTTGAGAGCGGGAAAGAGGTGTCCACATTGGCTGTATGTATTATCCTCTTGTTTTTCTGTCTCCACCTTCATCATTTCCCCCTCATCTTCTCTTTAATTCGCAGTGATCTCCAGTGATCAGTGAAAACTCAATTAATTTCTCATGAAATCTTACATTACGGGCATTTGTGGGATTCTTCAAGCATTCCACATTGTTTAGTCGCACCGCAGCGTAACGTGCACACGACGTGCTTCGCTCTGAACCGAAGCTGTGTAGAAACGTGTGGATGGAGGGATGAGACGGAGCGTCTTTTCCTCTCCGCAGCACATGGCAGAGCAGTGTGTGTGTGTGTGTGTGTGCTGCGTAATTACCCCTCTTAACTCTCCAATTATTTCTCTATGAATCTAAATTATGAATAGCTCCCGTGAGTTCTTTCTGATGAATGGGGGAAATTAATATAATATTTCTTTGCTGAAGTGAAAAAGGGTGCCTTTCCTCTCTCGACTTCTCTATTCAACACTTTCTCAGGGTCACTTCGCCGAGATCATCTCTCTCTCCTTCAACACAACGGGCGATCGGTTGGTCACAGGGTCGTTTGACCACACTGCCATTCTGTGGGACGTTCAGTCCGGCAGGTCAGTGTGTACAGTACACCACAGTTAATGTTTAATGTATTAAACTCTTCTCAGACAGCATAATGGCATGTTTTATGTCTGTCTCTCCCAGGAAAGTTCATGTTCTCACAGGTCACCGTGGCGAGATCAGTTGTGTTCAGTTCAACTGGGACTGTTCCCTCATCGCCACGGCCTCTCTGGATAAAACATGCAAGGTTTCTGTTTCTCTTCACTCTAAGTCTGTAAAAGAGCCTCTTAAATTAAGTTTTCATTTTTAATCTTTAACCATATTTAGTTTTTCCCTTTCCAATGTTTGACGGTTGCCTCAAAAGCAGCGTGATACCAAGATGTTAAATCAAATGAATTTGTTGTTATTATCTTGTTTTTATATATTTATATAGCAAGGTTTCTGACAATTCTGGACTAAGACGTGAGCCTTTTTGAGTTTTGAAACTATGTTTACACGACCACAACTTTTATTTCAATAGATTTTATTTCATTTTTCTGTCTGTGTAACTCTCTTGCTCTGGGGTGCGTTTCCCGTACAAGGACATAGTTCGTTGCTTCACTAACATAGTATGATGCTTCGTTGGAGAAATCAACTAGCTAGTCACGACTGTTTCCCGAAGCTCATTGTCGCAGTTCAACCATGTTGGTTTCGCACATGGTGGAGTAATAACTACTTTTAATGAAACTGTTTGAGATCCAATAAACGCTAGATTTTTTAATATAATTTACAGACATGTCTTCTGATGACTATTTCTAATTGTTCTCAGTTGTTTCGCTTTATTACCAGACTCAATATTTGGCTCGTTCTTACATAGTAGAGCACGTTCGCACATGCGCACTCTTCAAAATCAGTACTTTAAATCTTTTGACAAACTAAAAGACGTAAATTAAATTTGTATGTATTCTAAATAAAAGGCAGCGGTTGTACTGAATGTCAGCTCGCTTATTTTGCTCAAGATAAGCATTTATTACCTCCAAATGTGCTGCAATATAGAAACTATGCCTCTAACCACAGGTCGAGAGCTGTCGTTCAAACCACACAACTTTGCGATGCTGTTTGCGAATGTTCGTTGGAAACATCGACTCGTTGAACTATGCTGATAACGACGGAACTTGCGACCATAGTTGGCTAACGATGCTTTCGGGAAACGCACCCCTGTTTAGTTCCTGTCTCTGTGAAGCCTCTCCTGAAAAGCTCAATGTGCTCTGATTGGTCGGCTGGACCTGTGTGTTGTAATTGGTCAACCGCGAGTGTGTTTCGGAAAAATCGTACTCTTAACTGCGAGTTTCAACACAGTCGTATCTAACTCAACCAGGCCTAGCCCATTTATTTAGCATATACCTTGGGCGGGAATTATTTAAATGAAGAATATTGTGAACTGTAGTAGCAAAACTACAATGGAGGTGTTTCAGGGAGTTCAGATTCTCATAACTCTACACCGCAACATTACACGCTTAAGAAAGATGAACATGTAACAAAGCATAACAGGACCCCTTTAAGTAATATCATTGCGATGTCTGCATGTAAAAGTCGGTGTTAACTATGGGTGGGACACACACTGCACCCTTCACAGTACTCACACTTGATGAGTGAGTGAGCAGGCCAAAGCAATGCCCACTTTCTTATGGAATTCATTCGTTTGTGAGGCTATTTTGGTCATCATGTGGTTTTAGTGTGTTATATAACAGGTTCTGTGTGTTTTTTTGTGTGTAGGTGTGGGGCGCAGACAACGGTCAGTGTTTGGCTACTCTCTTAGGTCATAATGATGAGGTGTTGGATGTGTGTTTTAACTACACTGGTCAATTGATCGCTACGGCCTCTGCTGATGGTGAGACATCTCCACACATCACAACCTGATTCAGTCTCACAAAACTCCCCTAAAATATGTGAAAAAAAAAATATATACAGTATATTTCTAAAAGTAATTAAGTTATGAGAACTACTTTTTTCCAGGAATGTGTACATAAAACATCTTGATGGGCCCTTAAAGGGAAAGTTCACTTTGAAATTAATTTTTGGTATGTTTTATCTTACCTCAAGGGCATCCAAGACGTAGGTGTTTTTGTTTCCGCAGTATTTTCAATTTTGATATTTTTAGGTCAAACCGTTCTCGTCTGTCAGTCATATAATGGAGGTCTATGGTCACCACCTCAAAGAGCATGCACAGAGAAGTCCAAATTAAACATGATTTAATGACTCATAAATGTAAGTACACATTGATGGCCTAAGACACGAAAAGAGCAGTTTGTGTGAGAAAACGAACAGTATTAAAAACGATATAAATACTGTTCGTTTTCACATATAAACCGCATAGAGAACTGACACAGAGAAGCACAGAGAAGTCCACATAATTTGGACTTCTCTGTGCATGCTCTTTGAGGTGGTGACCATAGACCTCCATTATATGACTGACAAGAACGGTTTGACCTAAAAATATCAAAATTGAAAATACTGCGGAAACAAAGACACCTACATCTTGGATGCCCTTCGAGGTAAGCTAAAACATATCCAAAATGTATTTCAAAGTGAACTATCCCTTTAACAAGTCTTTATTTTCTTTAGACAAAATATGTGAGGATTGCGGGGTAAGATGTGTCAGCGAGTAAACTGTGGCACCCCATAATTTGTGATGTGACCATAATTGTAATATTATGAATAATTTTTATAGGTTCACTATATTCAATGGCTTATTTTTCTGGCTGTTTATGAAAAAGTCTGTTTATCTGCTTTCTTTGAGAAGTTTCCATGGCTGTGTTATAGACGCTTTGTATATCCTGAAATATAATTAGGAGTATTCGTTTTACACTTCTCTTCACCTAGAGGTCACCCGATTGTGTGTAAATTCGAGCGTAGCGGATTATTAAAGATAATCCGACTTTGTGAGCTGGGCATGTTTTCGTGACTGCTGTGGCGTTTGCGTGCAGGTACATCAAGAGTGTTCAGCGCTGTAACGTTCCAGAGTTTATGTCAATTAGAGGGTCATAATGGAGAGATATCAAAGGTAAGAAATCCCATCATCTCATACTCAATAATCCTCTCTGCTATTCGCATATCTCTTCACTCAGTCTCTTTCTTCATCTGCTAAGGCACTCATTTCCTTCCATTCCTGTTATTTCCTGTCTAGGTCTCTTCCTGTTTATATCCACCTGTTCTGCCCTCTCGCCTTCACCCCAGCATCCGTCTGTCGTCCGTCATCTTCTCAGCATATTCATACGACCGCTTTCTTGATCGGTCTGCTCTTCTTTTCTTCGGCCTATCCCTAAACGATCTCGCCGTAATATCCGTGCTCCTTTCTTTTCCATCCCCCACCCGAGCGTCGTCATCATCACCAGAATGTTTCCATTTCCTGTGTAAAGGTGATAACTCAAGTACGCACATACACACTCGGTCCTTCAGCGCTATAATAAAACGTCTGTCATATCAACACGGGTCAAATTAAGTTCAGCTGTCTTTCTTTCCGACTGCTTCTCATGTTTTTCTCCTGCACGTTGAAATAGGACGTTCTCACATGCAAAACAAAAAGTAATTGTTTCATGATGGAATATGATAAAGAGGCATTATCATAACAAAAGGAGAGCGAATAATACAGAAATATAATTTGCTGCTGATTTTGTCCCTCTCCGCAGGTGTGTTTTAATCCGCAGGGGAGCCGTGTTTTGACGGCGAGCGTGGATAAGACGGCTCGCGTGTGGTGCGTGAACACAGGAGTGTGTTTGCAGGTGCTGGAGGGACATTCTGATGAGATCTTCTCCTGCGCTTTCAACTATGAGGGAGACACCATCATTACAGGCAATTACACACACCTGCGGAAGACTCATACATGCGCAAAAGTAGTCATACGTCAGTAATTTCAAGCCTTGTTTTCAATCTTTCCACAGGCAGTAAAGACAACACCTGCAGGATCTGGCACTGAGACGGCGGCTGAACGCGGATGTTACAGTATTCTTTCCTTCACCTCTTTGGATTAACATATTGTGTGTCATCTTGTCTAATATTCTCTAATATTCTAATATTAGAGAATATTTTAATATCTAATATTTTCTGTTACTACGCAGGCCCCTAAAGAGATGTGGTGGTGGAAACATTTTTGGATGGGAGAAAAAACCTGTTGTGAGCTCGGACAACAAACAATTCCCGTTCAATGTCCCGCTAGTAGACAGCTCCGTACGTTATCATCGGAGTGTTTCATAGTGTTTGTACTTGGACTCAAATATAAAGAAATGCGGTCAGTGCTTAACTCAAGGAGTTCAGTTTAGTTGGCAATATATTCACAGATTCGAACTTCACCTATTTCCAATCGAGCTACAACCCAGTTTTCCTGAAAATAAGCTTTATAATATAAATTGACCATCTGCAAAGTCCAAAACCCACATTTTATATTAAATAACGTCACTGTAACACTGTACTGTCACCAAATTCAGTTCACGTATCACTGCTTTCCTGCTTGTCATACTACAACATAAAAATGCACAATTTCTATGATTATTTATTATGAAACCAAATCAATAACTTTACACTGTTATTAGAAAGAAATATTCAATAACTTCACACTGTTGTACAAATTCTTAAGCAATTATCATGCAAAAGCTAACAAGTATGTTGGCTGGGTATCAACACCCTTTGTGTAAAGAATAGATCTACTTATTTTGTATGTGCTATTACTTGCCAAATTAAGTGTTGAAGTATGAACAGTAGGAGACCATTGATGTGTAAACTTGTGAATTTGGTGAGGTGACACTATAGTTTGTAATATATGTAAACTGAATTTGGTGAGGTGACACTATAGTTTGTAATATTAAAGTTAATGAGATCCATTTCATTAACTTTCATTAACTCAGCCGAGATCCATTTATATCATAAAGCTGGGTTGTACAGTAGCTCCTTGTCTATGTTGCTATGATTGGAAATAGGTGTCATTTGTATTTTAACATTGAGATCTGTGAATATATTGCCAACTTCTCACTGACCACATTTCTTTATATTTGAGTGCAAGTTCAAACACTTTGAAGCACTACAATGTTAACGTACGGAGCTGTCTGAAACACACCAGTGGGAGATTAAACAGGAAGTGCAACAGGTTTTGCGAGGGAATGTAAAGTTTCTCTGGGAAACACAAAAGTTTTGCAAGAGAACACAAAAATCTCAAATTTTTTCTCACCACCATGTCCCTTTATGCTATGGACCCCATGCGTGGATATATTGTGGCCACAATTCATTCCTTGGTTTTATTAATTAGTTTCCCCGTTGTATTTTTGTTAACAATTTGTTCCCTCGTTTTACTATACCGTGGCCACTTAGTAATGTGTTCTCTTGTTGTATAGTTCAAATTATCAAATTCTTAATTCGTGGGAGCTAATTCTTATCCGTGGGCATGATATCTAGGAATTTATGTTTGTCTGCACGCGGTCATTCTTTAAAAACAAAACAAAAAATGCTCACACAAATGCTTTATGGAGAATCTTGTGTGTAAGTGCACACTTGTCAACATATTTTTGTTTATATCAAGTCAGTTTTTTAATTTTAAGACTTGCTATGTTACATTGAAATAATTTTCTGGTGTATTTAACCTGGAATATCTTCTCTTTAGCATGCAAGTCTATTTTTGAGTTTGTGTATGTATGGACTTTATTCACAAACGTGTGGCTCTTTTCAAATAAAGACTGTCGACGTCAAACTCACTCTACGCAAATTTTATTTTGAAAAGATAAATACATTCAGGTATACCGTGACAGACTGGATACAGTTGTGTGCCTTCAACGCCGACATTAAAACACGTTACTATTATGTTACTATGCGGAGAAAACCAAAATGCCACCAGATTTCACATTTACACGTCAACTTTTACGTGACAGAACTGTACTTGCACTTTAAATATACTCTTTTATGTTTATCCTCAAAATGTTTACAGTATTGGTGCTGTAATCCTGTCCGTCTGCCTGTCTTTGCAATCGTAAAACCGAAAACGTAAATTTCCATTTGCAGCCCGAAGGTACAATAGCTCACAATCTAGACTATTTACATCTAACCAAAATAAAATCTCTTAAATAACAGTAGTCACAAAAAAACTAAACATAGAATTCAGTCTCAGAGGTACAATAAAAGGACTGAACGTGTTCGTCGATGTAAACTTAAAACAACAAAGTAAGTTTGGAATGAGATCTCACTATATTTCACTTTAAATACAAACATTGAAATGTTTTTAAATCCCTTAAAATCGCCACAGCTCGCTTGTCTATTTTTCTTGGTAAAAAGTCACGTTGTGCATTTGAAACGGGTTTGTCGTACAGTAAAAATCTGCAAGCTACAAAACGTCAAGGCTGATTGGTTGGTTTGAACTGTGTTCCTCTAACCAGCGCTAGCCGGTGGATCTAACGTTGCGTGCGCGTAAAGACAGGAACATGCTTAATTTAAAGGGAAAAATCCTCAAACCACAATCTATGTGATGTGCGAATGAGCATCTCTAGCACATATTTATGGACAAGGCATTTTCTTCCTACAGTAACTCCCAGAATTCCTGTTATCTAGCAAGGACATATGCAAGTGTGACAGCGATGGAGGTATCGGAATAAAAGTTTGTGTCGGCTGTAAGATGTGGGATGTGCTGGTGATTAGAGGTGGCAAATTCGCTACTTAGGAGGTCTCATGCTAAGAATTGTGGGATTGAGAGCCATGAATGTGTGTGGGCATCTTGTAAACCTTGCTAACTTGTGATAAACAGAGAGTTTCGCAGCTGAGCTCTAGAAAAATGTTCTGATGGTGGTGTTTTGGATTGGTCTGTTGAATCTAAGAGGCGTATTTTTTTAGTTGGTGGCGCTGAGGGTGAGTTGGCGGCTCAAATGGGATGTTTGTTGGTGTTTTCACACTGACTCCAGACTTTAAACGTGTATATGTGGCGTCTTCAACTTCTGGCCTGTAGATGGGTGGCGCTCTAGCGCTTGGTCTTCAATATCCAGTCAAACAGGCTGGGCACCGGCCGTCCTCTCTGCTCCAGGTCCTGGTGGAGCTGACAGAACTGAGCCACAGCGCTGAACAAGTCACCAACACGCCAAGCCTTCTGACCTGCCAACTGCACCACTCTGTGGAACTGAGAAACAAACACACGCTGTTCAGTTCTTCATGCAGACGACCGCCGAGACGTCAACAGTCGGTGCAGTTGGGGGCTGTTCACATTTGTGCATTCCACTGCAGTACTTTTCCATTGCTTTATGATATATGTTAGATGCTTTATAGATATATGTTTCAAAACAGTTTTAACCCTTACTGATGGAGTGTGTATCTTCATTTCTTAAACAACCATGTAATTTAGGAAGACGCATCTTTGGCGGGGTGGTGATGGCGCAGTGGATAAGACACATGCCTTTGGTGTGAGAGACCTGGGTCAGAGAATGTCTAATTGATGAGAATTGGCACTGGCTGGTTACTTCCGGGTTCTGGACTGGCTGCAGTAACACGTCTCTGTCCATGCGGGGGCGCTCGCGGTCGAGTGCAGAATGAATGGGAGTCAATGGGGTTTCACCCCCAGAAATCCACTTTTCTCAGGATGTAATTTTTTGTCAAGTAATTTTAAAGTTGCATTCAAAAGGGAGGGCTAAGATAATACACTCAGCTGAAAATTGCATTTTTAAGTTCACTTATCTGTTCTAAAAATCTGTTCAAAAATGTGATGACGTCACACAATAGCAGAATGCTAGCGTGTTCCGGCCAACAACGGCCTAACCTGCAAGAAATCGAAAGGACATAAGTATTCATTCATTCGACTTTTGGCCTATAATCTATATTGAACTTGCGGAATCAACAATAAAATCTATTTTGATTTAACGACAAGCAGGTGAAAGAGACACTTTTAGCCGTTTAGCCCCATAGACTCCCATTCATTCTGCTCTCGCCCGTGATCACCTCCAGTGGAATTCTAATGGAACTGCAACCAAGATGATACACAACGGGGCTAATAGGAAGTGCCAAAGCTCTCCGTTAGACGGGCTCTGCCCGGGTTTGAATCCACTGTGAGACACCAATGTGTTCCTGAGCAAGACACTTAACCCCTAGTTGCTCCAGAGGCGTGCGACCTCTGACATATATAGCAATTTTAAGTCGCTTTGGATAAAGCATCAGCTAAATGAATAAATGTACATCATGGCTGTCGGCTCGTCAGTGTCTGAGTCTAATCTGTCTGCTGGGCCGTGCCGTGTGTGATACCGCAGGATCGGAAAGAGTAATGATAAGTTCATATTTCGAGTCTCGAGTTCGTCCACGTCTTTTGTTCTTCCTCTCAGTCCCAAAGAGACTATGCTGTCAATATCGGAAGGAGAAATGATTCGTTTATCTCTCGAGTTTTCAGGTTTGAGTCGTTCTTTTGTCACTTGACCGTTGGCATCTCGCATGAAATACAACATTAGGTTCGTATCATTGATGGCGTCTCTGGATGTATATTGTTTTATATTTATAGGCATTAAATAACAAAATATGTGCAATAAACATTATCTGAAAAATAAAAGTTTCACATTGTCCATGTCCGTCTCTTTTCTATATTGTGCATCTGTGGTGTGTTTTATTATATATTATTCATGAATTAACTACTATTATATTATACATAATCTACGTGCTTGTTTTTGAAAGGTTTAGGGAGAATGAGTATGGAGGAGAGTATGAGCTTGTGGCCCCGCCCAGTGGAGTTACTACGTCATAACTCCAGTCTATTTGAGCTGGCATTTTAGCGTCTGCTACTGATTCACAGCCATTTTTCAATGTAGAAATACTCGGAAATAACACTTTGAGCTTATTTTTCTCAAGATGTGTCCTCTAACATCAGAAAAATTACACAAGAACATGTTAACACTTAGAAAAACATTATTTTCATCGGAGGGGGTCTTTAAATAGCAACAGCGCCCACGACACAAAGTTAACTTGCGCTTTGCGCTTGATAGTTGCATTTCAGATCGTTAAATTAGGGCCCATAGACTCTTAAGTATTTGCCTATTTAAATCCAAACAGCAATTTTTTTTGGGCCAGGCCATATAAATACATATATAAGCCTAAATATATGCAAAAACTATTTGTTTCAAAAGTGCAATGTAAATGGTAAAAATAGCACCAACTCCACTGGCTTCTACCCTTTACATTTGAGGTATAATTATGTAACTTGTGTTGTCGAACAAAATGTGAAATCCTCCTCAGGACCTTATTTTAGTCAAATCGAAAACTGCTATTCTAAAAACCCATTAGAAATTCCAGAGGGAATCCATGCTAATTCTTTTAGAGATTTGAGGAGTACAGTCTGAACAGCTCGACACCCCTGGAGCCTTGCTGAAGGCACAACTACATTTATGTCTATATGTTTATTATCTATATATTGTTGTCATGTTGTTAATATTGAATGTCGAATTATTGCCAGGAACTGTAGAGAAACACACTCTCCCGTGTCTGGGTAAAAAATAAAATAAAAAATAAAATCTGCAGTTAAAAAAAACATCAAAAAAAATTCTATCCTGATTCTGCAGGATGGATTTAAACATTGTAAAATGTAAGCAACAAAGTACTAACTCTTAATGCTAGCTGGAACTATAATGTTTATAAAGTGTTTAATGAATGACCGGCGCTCCAACTCGTAAATTTCCACCAGACCTGGTTGGTTATTATAACAAACCATTGCGTGCGAGCTCCGTTTTCCCTCACCTTAGCGAGGTTGTGCTCCTGAGTCTTTCTGAAGTAAAGCGCCGGCACGCCGAGCTCAGACGCAGCGATCCACTGAAGCGCTGCTCTTAGCTCTCCATCCACACACTCTGGTTCCAGGTCAAAGTTCAGCACCAGAAGCTCCCTCTGACAGCTGCTGCCGGCTGTGGACAAACCCGATGTCGCTTCTGCCAGACAAAAAAAAAAAAAAAAATCACACCGGTTACTTTGAGACACTTCTGTGCACGTGAGATTACTATAGATCTAATATGTAGCAAGCAGAATCTAAAGGAAAGGAAAGGCATTTGAAGGTGTTGAACTGAGTAGCTCTAACAAACGTGCGTCTACTACAGGTATTTTTCTGAAGGAAGCGTTAGCGGTGCATTACAATGCTACCGTATTATGTTTACAGGCACGAGGGCGGGGCAACCTGTCACTCACATGAGATCCACCAATAGCAAACCACAACCATCCAATCAATTCCCTATGGACATAATCAAGCCCTGCACAACACTTTTGCTAGTTCCAGAAGCCGTTTCACTTGAAAAGACATTGCAATAGGGAAGAAAAGACTATCGCAAGTTGTTGTTTTTTTTCCAAAAATGTATTATTTATATAATTTTGTTGTCGTTGTATATATTGCCTAATACGAGTTCTTAAAAACAGTACCAACTCTACTGGTATCAACAGCTTCAAAATTCATGTTTTGGTATGACAATGTAATTTATGTTACAATACCTCCCCCCAAGTTTTATTATCCGTTTTTAGCCTAGTTTGTTCATTTACCAGGTGAACAAACTTTTGTAAGACATGCATTGATAATGGTTCATCTTGTTCATGATATATGCGTTATGCACTGCTGCAGTTGATATACAAACGCATTCCCCTGCTACATGTTCATTTTTAGCAGCAAGTTAACGTTAAAACTGTATTACATATTTTTATTAGTAATTCATCTTATTTGTTTAAAAAATGTTCACGAGTTTTAAAAGCTTGACTGAACGAATGAATGAATGAATGCAACACCAAACAAAGACATCTAAATGACCCATAAAGGACAGAATAATCAAGTACACTCACTTAAGTGATTATTAGGAACACCTGTTCAATTTCTCATTAATGCAATTATCTAATCTTCAATGCATTTAGGGGTGTGGTCCTGGTCAAGACAATCTCCTGAACTCCAAACTGAAGGTCAGAATGGGATTTAAGCAATTTTGAGCGTGGCATGGTTGTTGGTGTCTGAGTATTTCACAATCTGCTCACTTACTGAGATTTTCACACACAACCATTTCTAGGGTTTACAAAGAATGGCGTGAAAAGGAAAAAAACATCCAGTATGCGGCAGTCCTGTGGGCGATAATGCCTCGTTGATGCCCGAGGTCAGAGGAGAATGGGCCGACTGATTCAAGCTGATAGAAGAGCAACTTTGACTGAAATAACCACTCGTTACAACCGAGGTATGCAGCAAAGCATTTGTGAAGCCACAACACACACAACCTTGAGGCGGATGGGCTACAACAGCAGAAGACCCCACCGGGTACCACTCATCTCCACTACAAATAGGAGAAAGAGGCGACAATTTGCAAGTCTGGAAAAATGTTGCCTGGTCTGATGAGTCTCGATTTCTGTTGATAGAGTCAGAATTTGGCGTAAACAGAATGAGAGCATGGATCCATCATGCCTTGTTCCCACTGTGCAGGCTGGTGGTGGTGGTGTAATGGTGTGGGGGATGTTTTCTTGGCACACTTTAGGCCCCTTAGTGCCAATTGGGCATCGTTTAAATGCCACGGCCTACCTGAGCATTGTTTCTGACCATGTCCATCCCTTTATGGCCACCATGTCCCCATCCTCTGATGGCTACTTCCAGCAGGATAATGCACCATGCCACAAAGCTCGAATCATTTCAAATTGGTTTCTTGAACATGACAATGAGTTGACTGTACTAAAATGGCCCCCACAGTCACCAGATCTCAACCCAATAGAGCATCTTTGGGATGTGGTGGAACGGGAGCTTCGTGACCTGAATGTTCATTCCACAAATCTCCATCAACTGCAAGATGCTATCCTATCAATATGGGCCAACATTTCTAAAGAATGCTTTCAGCACCTTGTTGAATCAATGCCACGTAGAATTAAGGCAGTTCTGAAGGCGAAAGGGGGTCAAACACAGTATTAGTATGGTGTTCCTGGTTCTTCTGGTCATTATGTTGCCCATTAGAGTTCAGTATAAGCGTCAGAAACGTCTCCTCACAGCAGATCTCCGTTTGTGTGCCGAAGTCGAGACCCTTACTTTAAGAGCCACTGTTCGAACGTGGATGAGTGTGAGCGATAAAGAGCTCATGGGAAATAAAGAGAGAGATGGGGCTTAAATATTTGGATAAACCCCTACTGTTCTACAGGAGATGAGCTAATCTCGTTTCCCTACAACTTTCTCAAAGTTATATTCAAATGTATATAACGTTTTTAGCTTATTTCTTAAAAAGCTATTCAAGCTGTTCTTTCTTTGCCTCAGTAATATTCATTTCAGCATGACATCTCTATCCTCCTCAGCGCTCCAGAAACGTAAAGATCTGTTCCAAAATGAATCTGTCCTCTGTTTTCTTGCTCGATCACACATCTTCCCGTTTTAACACCCTCTCCTCATCCCAGCAGGATGATGCTTTGCCTGTCAGCTCTTGTGTCTGTGTGCCTGAACGTCTCTTTTGTTCTCCTGCATGTGAATGAGTCATTTGTGAGGCGTGAGTTTGTGCTGGCAATACAAAAGTCTCTAGCTCTCATTCAAGAACGTCTGTCCATCTGCCAAAGACTAGAAGCTCCCCGAGCGGCGAGGGCCAGAGGCCGAGCAACGCTCCTGAAGTGAGCCTGACTGTATGCTAATTCAGGACATGTAGAGTAGATGTTCCTCGGATAGAAGAAGTCAAAGATTAAAGGCCAATGAAAAGAACAGCAAAGGGTCATGAGTAGAATCGCAGTAACCACAATAGCGAGCGCTGTATACAGTGCCAAATTTCTGTTGCTTGCAGTTTTAAAAACTGATAATGAGAAAATACTATTTTAAGAAATTTGTATATGTGCGAGAGTTTTGATTTATGAAAAGTCAAACTAAGAACCTATTGCCAAATCCTACACTGTAAAAAAATGATTTTCAAGTTTTGTTTTCACAACATTTTTTTTTTGTCAAATCAACTTAAATAATTTATTTAGTTCAGATAACTTAATATTTTTAGTTTTTGATGATTAAATCAATCTCAATTTTTCCAGTTCAATCAACTTTAAATTTTAAAGCAACCAGGTTACTTACTTTTTTAAGTTAAACCAACAATATTTTTTTTACAGTGTAGGCAAATTAAATAGGAAAATAAATAAAGGAATAAGAAATAGAATTCATTCTCAATAACATTTTTGTAGAACTTTTTTCCCTTCGTTTATTGTTTAAAAGTATTTTTATTCTTTTGAACTTATTCTTGTTTTTATTTGTAAATGTATTTTATATTTATTAATTCCCACAGTGTGTTTGTTTCCAGATTTATGCATTTATTTAGTTTTTACTTTTCCGTGTGCAACATGTAAATTATCAGACTGATCTCATGAAGTAGCGCGTGTATGCCACGCCAATTCGTATTTCCATTTTTGGCGTGCTATCAAGACGCATAATCGCCTTTCAGCGTGTTTATGAACGCCGTTGACTTAACGTTATATAAATATATGACTTACCTCAACCCCGTCCCTAAACCTAACCGTCACTGGGGTTAATGGCATTTATGACTGTTCCCTTACCATCCTAGGAAAGAAAAAGATACGACTTACCTCAACCCCATCCCTAAACTTAACCGTCACTGGGGTTAATGGCATTTATGACTGGAGATTTGACTGCGTGTACGGACACGCGGAATGACGCGGACGTTAATGGCGTAGACATATACGCATACACGCGGATAGCTCAAAATGCGTACAGATAACACGCCACCTGACTCGAAAGTGGCGTATATGTTTACGCAAAAGTCATGATGTCATGTTGTAAATTACCACGGTTTTCCAGAAACAGAATCCAGGTACTTATGTGATTGTCCGCAACCATCGACGTCATCAGATTTGAGGTTGATGACACCCATCGGATGGTAGGTTTGTCGACTAATGCCTGTGTATATTTTGTAATCACAGAGAGAAAATCTCTGCATCTGAAATCATGTACTTATATCATACCATATACACCTATATAGTAGGCGAAAAACAGTATGTGACAAAAGAAGTATGTCTGAATATTTTAATAATCACATTCAATAACTTCCAAAATCAAGTAATAGAGACCATTCTGTCTTTCATTTGCATGAAGAACAAATACAGTATCTCATCTAGGGCACCAAGTGAGCCTCTGGTGCCTCCTGAAAAATGTCCAATTTCCTCATTCACAGAGAAATAACATGAAGTTCACTCTCCAGAAGAATATGTAACATTTATATAAACGATCAGACCGCCAGACAACGGCTTGGTTCAGACCGAATACATTAGCGCAGAAGTGTGGAGAGCAGCGATAGCATGATCTCCTTTTAATTCCACACACCGCTGTGAAGTTCCAGTGATTTAGATGTGTGTGTGTGTGTGTGTGTGTGTGCTCGTAGAGGATGTATCACTCACCATCCGCCTGATCTTGACAGTGCGATGCCTTCCTATCTCTCTCCTCACTGAAACACAGACAGAGACACAATCATTATCAATGGGGGGCCCGGACTATTGCACTCCTCTAATAAGACCTCGAAATAGTACGTGACTGCAAGCTTTTGGCGGCAAAGCCCATTGGAAGCGCCAACGATTGAGACAGACACAGCAAACAACAGCACTTAGTGAGCACATTTACAAACTTGTAGAAGACACCATCGTCTCTAATAATATGTGATCCAAATTTCTTGTCCTCTAACTGTGTCCGTATCCTCACGAGAGCAGCTGCAGGAAGAAGGATTTGGCCAGCGCTCTGGGTTATGGATGAGCGCTTAACATCCATTAGCTCTGGCGTTCTGAGCAAGTCTCTCTAAGTGTGCCGCCGTTAGCGGGTTGCCGTTGGATACCTGATTAGGTTGCTGGAGATGGAGAAGTCTAGAAAGCCCTCCAGGTCTGCAAATCCCAGACTAGAGGCGCTGCTGTTTCCATTTCTGAAACACAGATATATGCACATAAAAAGAGTGACACACGGGACACACTACAGCTCAAAAGTTTGGAGTTACACTTTTTTATGTTTTGAAAGAAGTGCTCACCAATGTTGCATTTATTTGATTAAACTGTAATTTATTCCTGTGATCAAAGTTGAATTTTCAGCATCATTATTACAGTCTTCAATCTTGTGATCCACCTGATTTGCTGCTCAAGAAACATTGTTTTTATTATTATTTTTGATTGTGCGGCTTAACCATAAAACATTCTGGACAAATGTGGGCAAAAATAGTTTTATTTATTTAAAAAAAAAAAATACTTCCCTTGATCTGAGCGGTACAAGACTTGGCTACTTTTCCTAAGTTTGCCTCCTGAACACACACATTTTTTTTTTGTGACTCAATTCTACAATGTTAAGTGGGTGAAAAAAACCCTCCTTAATCTTGTATTTGGGTCAAAAATAGGAAATGAATGGGAAAAACTGTAATTTAGAGCATTCTAAAATAAGCCAAAATAAGACACCAGGTCTTATTTCATCTTCAGCTTTTAGCTCTAAGAACTTACTGGAATGATATTTTAATGTAGTAAAAAAAAATAAAAATAAAATAAAACAAAATTAAGCATAATTTAGATAGAAAATGTGGTACTTTTTAAAGTAAATAAATTCAAAAATACCCCCCAAAATAAAAAAAAAACACCATAAATGGATAGACAAAACTTCATCGAAGACAGTGTTATAACATTTATAATAAATACAAAATAGGATCACACCTGAGTCATCTCTGCCCACATTTGTCCACAATTACAGGATTAAGGGCTATAAAGTGAATACGGTTTGAGGGCTAGCCTACTATTGTTTTGTGTTTTCCAGGATTCTTTGATGAATAGAACATTATAAATGTCTTTACTGTCACTTTGAATAAAAGTATCCATACTTTTTTCCCGTCGTTTTTGAAATGTTTGAATGGTACTGTATCACGGTTTCCTCTAAAGTATACAAAACAGCACAACTGTTTTCAACATTGATAATAATCAGTGTTGCCAGACGTACGATAATTATCCTATTTGTACGAAAATTTTTACCTCTGTACGATCAATAATGAAAAAAATCCCATAATGTACGATAATTTCGGAATTTTGTGCCACTTTAATCGGAGGTCATTGTAATCACTTCTATACTCATTGATCTAGCTGTGGATCTACAGTACGTCATGATTGTGAGGAGAAAGTGAATGTGAGAGAGCTCGGCAGAGAGCGAGAGACCTTATGTGAAAGCTTGCCCCCACCCCCCACCTACTCAAACGTTTGGCTCGTACACGATAATTTTCCTCCAAATACGATCATTTTGAGGGTCTGGTACGATAATTGGATATTTCCAATCTGGCAACACTGATAATACTCATAAATGTTTCTTGAGCAGCAAATCAGAATATTAGAGTGATTTCTGAAAGGTCATGTGACACTGAAGACTGGAGTAATGATGCAATAAATTCAGCTTTGATCACAGGAATAAATTACATTTTAAAATAGAAAGCAGTTCTTTCACAACGTTAATGTTTTGACTGTATTAGTTTTTGTGAAATAAATCCCGCCAAAAGAAACGTCTTTCAGCAACATTAAAAAAAATCGGAATAATTCCAAACTTTTGATCGGTAGTGTAAGCTATGTGAACTTTTCAACCCCTTTTCCCGTTGGATCTGTAAGAATACAGACGATGCAGAAGCTGCTAATTCTCTCAGCAATGATCACTAAGGCGTGGACAGCAGCGGGGCTTGCAGAAGAGCGAGTGGGCATGAACACTGGCATGAGATTCATTAGGATGGGCATCACTGGCAACTCCCCTACCAGCTGATGACTATGAACACTTGCCAGCTGTGCCCATAACGACAACAGCTGGGTGGACAAGCAGAGAGGAACCTTTCCTCCTGCCAGGGCAAAAAAAAAAAAACTAGGAATGGAGTGGGGGTTAAAGCCAGATGGAGGCGAATGGCCGGATACCCAGACTCGGGTAAGTGAGGATGAGTTGAGTTGGCGCAGGTAAGGCAGTGTCAGTGAGCGTGGCAGGCTGGGCATGATTCAATCAGCAAGCAGGACTCGCACACCCATTACATCCTTTTCATTCTAGAGTCAACAGGATGTGACATATGGCACCTGCCTGTCAGTGTGAGGCACTTCCTGTCATGCTGTCAGAGCCGTTTACTCAGACAGCTGTGCTGGACTGCACTCGCAAATGGAAACTCTCTCACTTCAGAGAGTTACTCTACCTCAGGCACTTGCTAAGAGTGTGTTTATACGTGAGCATATGGAAGAAAATGTGAAAGGTCATTCAAGAGATTTGCTATTTTGTGGTAAATATTCTGTTAAAATCACTACATAACACAATCAGGATTTGGAAAGATGGTTAAGAAAAATTGACTTAATTGACAGCCTTGTGTGAGAGCAAGCATTAACTGTGGCTCTTTATTTCCACCCTCTTTTCTGTTGGGAATCATTAAATAATTTTTTTGGCATAATTGTGTAAATAATTATGTTAAAATGAATTAAGTTTTTAAGTGCTTAGGCGCGGGGAGAGCATAGTACCGAAGATCTGGCATAAACTGTTAATTACATCTCCGGCATATACATCTCAGACATTTTTTTTTTTTAAATGTACAGAGCTCAAAATTTATCACTCAAAAAAATGAACGACACTGTAAAAATGCATATTCTTTATCTAATCAATAGAATTGTGACAACAGATTACAAGCAATATTATTAATTAAACTTAACAAATAATCAAATTATTCCTTAATAGTTAACCATTTAAAATGAGTAAAGTTTACACCAAAAAAATTAACAAAAATATCTCACAAACAGACAGACGTCAAAGATTAATTAAGAACTCTTTATTTTATATTGCCAACATCGAAGACATCTGATTTTAACGAGCAGAATCACTGAAGGAGAAAACCGTTATTTCAAAACAAACACCGATCAACATAATGGTGACTTTAATTTATGTTTTTTTGGTTGTTGTTGTAAGTTTTACTCATTTTAAATGGTTAACTTTTAAGGAATTCATTTGATTAATTATTATTTAATTCTAATTTGTTAAATTTAATTAATAATATTTCTTTTAATCTGTCGCCACAATTTTTTTGATTAGATAAAGCATATTCATTTTTACAGTGTAGGAAGGTTGTGCACTTTAATATATTTATATATAGTTTACTTATAATAATTGTGTTTTTTTACTTTAAATGTTTTTTTCTATTAAGGTCTATGTAATTGTGTCTCAACTTAACAGTACAAAATCCTAATGTGTTGTCTAAACACAAACCATTTCTGTCAAGTAAAAAAATGTGTACATCCAGAGGGTGGCAGTATAGTGCGAGCCGACTGCAATTTTGGCCGACCTTAATTTTATTGTGTTCAATCTGCTTAAATCTACGAACAACTTAAGTTTACTTAATCCGTTTGTGTTGCATTAACTGAAATTGGGGAGTGCTTTTAGTTTCCAGCATGCTTGAATTTGAGAATTAAGTGAGAATAAATGTTAAAATTAATTTTTATTTTATGTTTTTTTTTTGAGACATTTAGAATAGGGGAAGACTTGATAGTGTGTAATAGTGTTTAATTTTAAATTACAGTGGGTTTCATTGTGGAGAAAAGTGGAACATTATGTTTGACTGTCGACTGATTTTATTATTTTTTTATTGATTTGGAGGAAGGAGCATGTAAATAATATGTGCGACTGCTAGCAAATAGCTAGCTAAAGTCTATCAATTTAATTAAATATCACTGAATCAAATGAAATATAAATGGATGAATGAATATAATAAAATGCCTTTGAATCCTGTCAGGAAGGCTTTAAAAATTCACGTTGAGACTACTTAAATTGAGTAATTTAAAATTACTTAATTCCATTATGTTGAAGTTACATGAACAAATTATGTTTGTTTAAAGCAATCCATTTATGTGGAACCTGTTGATGAAAAAAAAATTTATTAAAGCCAACATATAATTTTTTTGAGTATAGGAATGGCATGAACGAATGTCTATAAGGAAATTTTCTTATATTTACAATGACAGAATTTTACTTTTTGGGTGAACTATCCCTTTAAGGGCAACGGCAACAGACTTTAAAGACAACACTGTTACGTGAGAGACAAGGTGACGACTAATCAAACAAGCCAAATATGTCAAAACTGTGATATTAGTCACGTGCTTTAACTCTTGACTCTCGCCTGAGCTCTAATTAATGATGGGTGCCGTGCTACACTACATATGGGTGCTACACTACACTGTATGTGCTCAGCACTGTCAAAAATTGGATCTAGCACATGTAGCTTAATGAAAAGCCAAATGGAGAAGCCACACTGTCCAGCAAGGCATGATGGTCTACTGGCAGACTGACCCCTCGCTTAGCTGGATAAAGCTACTGGTGGTCTCCTCCTGAGGGTCGTCTTCAGGGGCAATCTGGGCCCAGCTGCCTGAGCCACTTTCCTCACTGCTAGCGCTGAGAGAGCGTCGCTCCACCTCCACACCAGCAGAGGCCACTGAGGAGGCTCTGTCTTTGTCACTGTTGAGGGGGGAAAGAGGACACACGGCGAAACTGCAGTGTCACAATGACCTAGTAATGACTGATCCTCAAGAAGCTGCTGTTCTTTTCAATGTAAAATTGCTCTTTTTTTAAATTACAATGGATAATTTTGCCCCAAAATGTCTTTCGCTGTCCAGAGCCTGGGTCAAGAAAGTACAATAAGGCCTTGTGATGGAAAAATATTATAAGTGCACCTCAGGGTATGATTATAAAAAAATATTCGTGCTGTTCTTCATCTTTCCCGGGCATTTTCTTTACCAACTTACCTCTCACAGTCATGGTTGATTTGAGATGTTTTAACACAGTGCTTCAACACACATTGCTGTGAGCAGATACAACAAGCAAGAATGTGTATGCAAATATATTAGACTGTACCTGTTTTTGGTCGCTGTCTCACTCTCTCTACCACTTTGTAGCTGGATCTGATGAGGCCCAACCTTGCCCTTGTCTCCCGAGGCCTCTTCTCTTTGATCTGGTTCAATGTGAATCAAGGGTACCTCCCTTTGTCCTCGCCACGCTTGCCGCACACAGGAGGAACTGTGGGAGCTACAGCTATTTTCCTGACGCTCCAAGCTTGGCCGGTTTCCACCATTTTCACGACGAGAGTGTTTAAAGCCATGTCTTCTTTCTCCAACTGGAATTTGAGGCTGACAAGCAGCCACGGTTATGTCCTGTTGGCCTCCAAGCAAGGATTTCCCACTCTCTACAATGTCTGCCGCTAGACGATTGGCAAAGAGCTGCACATGTGGCTGCGAGTCGGCAGAATCGAGATCCAAACTGTCCTCCGAGGGCTCCGCAATTATCTTATTCTTGCGCATTAGAGACTCAATAGAGCTGGACCAGGTTTCGTGAATCAGCATGTCTGTGATTTGGTCCGTTTGGCCGCGCTTATACAAGCAAGAATCAGACTTGCAGAGTCCCGTTGATGACACAGAGTTGGTTGGATAGATGTTGAGTGAGTCTCCGTGGACATTTCGAGCGAAACCGTCGAATGAGTTAGCCTTGATGGGTGAGTTTACAGTTAGTCTGGAGTCTGAGGACCGCCTGTCAGGGACAGAAGACTGACGGATACAAAAGGGGGTTCTGGGGGACGGGGGTAATAGGCTATTACTCCACTCTTTGGTCTTGGTCAGACTGTAGTCCTTGTTCTCCTTGTCCATGTCTTTCAGCATGAAGCGATAAAACTCCTCGGTGATACTCTCAGTGCTGGACTGTTTAGAGAGACAAGACGACGTCCGCACATTGAGGTGTCCGTTCTTTTTACTGGCAGCTTGCTGAACAGCTGCTGCAAGGATGCTGCTGGCGTTTTTCCCAGCATAGTAGTCCAGCAGAAGGTCAAACCCTCGACCCTCGGTCTCCATCTGGTTCACCATGAACCGAGAGAACTCATCCGTAATGCTCTCACAGCTGGACTGCTTGGAGATAGAGCTACCTCGACTCAAATTATGCCCAAGCCTGTTACCTGGTCCCAAAGTGTTTAGCATCCCGGAGGGATCTCCGTCCTCCTCTGGAATGCTCTCGTAGCTGGACGCCTTCCCCCTGCTGCTCCATTTCTCACACTGCAGAGAAATGCTGCGACTGCGAGATGACTGGCCAGATTTGGAAGTGTCCACCACACTTAATTCTGGGCAGTTCAATATCCTGGCTGTGACCTCTGACGCAAAGAGTGCGAATGGATCAGAAGTTGTGGGTTCATCTAGATTGACGGTTTCATCCACGACACGGTTGACCAGGCGCTCCATAAGTTCAGGCTGTTCTTCGGTCTTACGTTTGATTTCACTGAGACGTGGAGGTCTGTGTTTCTTGGTGACTGCGGTGCCATTTTGGATCTCCTTTCGCCGCAGTGCCGCCGCTGTGCGGCAGGGCAGGAGCAGTCCCTCTGGACCTTCCAAGCCACCCTTCAAAGCGCAGAACCATGGCTGCTTTCCGCTCGAGTTCTCCAGGCATATCGCTGCCAGCTCTGTAGCCATGGAGACTACTGTGGTAGCCAAGTCTTCCGCAAAGCAAGTGACGGGAGTTTTGAACTCACCCGAATCCATTTTAAGTGCCACAAGTGTCCCGGAAGAAGGTGATACGGACTGCTGTCTGATCTCGCTCTCTCCTCCCGCCCTCCCTCGTGCCATGTGAAGTGGTGAGCTCTCAGCTGAAGGGAGCGCAGAGTCTGTTGTCTTGTCACTTCTGCCCAGGTCAGATTGTTCTTTGACTATAGCGGCAGTCACTCTGTTCAGAGCAAGTCTGTAGGGTTCTTTCAGTTTGGGCTCCTTTTCTCTGTCCTCCTGTATGTGCTTTTGCTCTCTCTCTCGTTTCCCAATGAGGCCAGACTGCTCCACACTTCCTCGCCTCTCGTCGTGATTATAAGCCTGGCTTGGCTCAATCAAACGCTGTAATTGGCTCAATGCTTCCCTCCCAGACTTGGTATCAGCCTCATATTCCCTAAAGCTGACACTGCCTTCTTGCCTGTCACATTTAGAAATTTCCTTGATTTTCCTTGATGTTACACACAGGACGTCAAAGAGCAAATTATTCACACAATCCAAGAGGAAACCCTCAATGTTTGGGGCATCTTTTCCAGGACCCTCAAGCTCTTTTCTCTTCTCAGCCTTCTCAAGGGCATTCTGGAATATAATGCCTGATATTTCCTGGGTAAAGTTATCCACGTCCTGTTGCTCATGATAGGGCCTTCTTGGTCTTGTGATGCCGTCCACTATCTTGTTATGGGTGGTCTCAAGGAAATTTGCAACGCTTGAATAACTTTGTCTGTGGGTGAGTACAGCTGAAGCTTCCCTGAGGAGAACTTCAGCCACATTGGCTCTGAAAGCCTCAACGCTGGTGCCCTCTGCAATGCTACAGTGGAGAGGTATTGCAGTTGAAGCTTGGGCAACTGACAGAAGTCCCAGAGAGGCAGAATACATGTCTGTCAAGTCTTCATTATCCCCAGAGTCATCCGCTAGATCTACCGCGGCTACGGCTCCAGCGACCTGAGACATCCCACATACTGCAGAGGAAAATGAATACTCCCCTTGTTCGGTTTCACTCCCTTCTTCGTCATCATCATCATCATCATCATCATCCTCACGCTCATCTTCTTCTCCTGACTCCAGCGTGAGTTGTTCTGTGACCTGAGGGGCGGTAATGGTACCGATGACACTTGCAGCACATGCCAAAGCTATTTCCACTGGCTTAGTGGGGGGTTTCGTTCTGGCTATGTTTACACCATCATGCTCTGATGTCACATGCGACTGTTCATCCGGCCACTCTGTTACCTCCTCACTGTTGTCAGGACTCTGGACAATCACGATTTTAGGAAGTTCAAAAGAGCAGGCTCGAGCCCTCTGTGGCTCTTCAGTGGGATGACTTGCATCACTTGAGGTTGTGGACACACTCACAGCTGCCTCCGCCACAAAAGAAGGCTCGTCTTGTGACAAACGAATAAAAGCATCTTGCAGGACTGATTCAGCGAGATTGGTGGCATAGTGGCCAGCAGACTCATTGGTGTGACGATTGACTTGTTTTGGGGTGGCGGGTGAGCCTCTTGAATGGGAGCAATATGTTCTTGAAAGCTTTTGGGAGTTGGAAGAGGTACAGAGGGTCTCGGAGTCCTCACTATCCTCTCTCTCCATTTCACTCCTTCTTTGAGCGTGGGCAGCTCTTAACACCTTAACCGACTTAACCGGCATGATAGAAATCTCAGGATCTGCAGAAAAAAAACATGAGACAAGGTTGGTGAGGAATGGGGTGGTGGAGCAGAGAGAGAGGAAATAGATTAAAGATAGACCTCTGAAACTGTTTCATAATCCCATACAAAAAGTCAAATTCAAAGCACATGTAAATGAAGCACATTCAAAGCCCAAGAAAGAAATCAGAGACAGAAAGACAGTTTTCCCTTTTCCATAACCAAGTCCATACAAATGTAGATCATTATCTGGGCCGATCTGTTTATGAATATTACATTGGCTTTGAGGAGAGCATAACCTTCACACAGTATTACTTCTAATTTCATATGAGGGATTAATTATAGATTAGCCCAGTGTATCTTGTCTCTTTAATATTAGACTTGGAACGAGTTTCACCACATGTAGACATTCAGGGGTCTGGCTTACTGTTAGAGGCCACAGAATAATGCAAGACAAAAAAGCTTTCAGACATGCACAATGAAAATGCACAAGACATTTTGGGGCCAGCACTTCTTTGTTATGGAGTCTTGAATATCATATCGGCAAATACAACCTTTGTTTATTTTTCTCTACCATAAACATACTCATTAACATAGGTTGAAGATAATTAATTGTTTCATTGCTGGTTTTTTTTCTGTTGCATCCATGCTGTTGCTTGGTTATTTTGTATCTAAATATGAACAGCAGATTGCTATGGAAGCTTGTTTCCGCCACTGAATAAAAAAATAAACTAAATAATTGTGACTTTTTATTTCACAATTCGGACTTTTTTTCTCACAATTGCGAGTTTATTTCTCGCAATTCTGACTATTTCTCAGAATTGCGAGATAAAAAGTCAGAATTGCGTGATATAAAGTCGCAATTGTGTGTTATAAAGTCAGAATTATGAGATAAAAGTCAGAATTGCGAGATATAAAGTCAGAATTGGGTGATATGAAGTCAGAATTGCAAGGTATAAAGTCAGAATTGCGTGATATAAAGTCAGAATTGCGAGATATAAAGTCAGAATTGGGTGATATAAAGTAGCAATTCTGAGAAAAAAAGACAGAAGTGTGACTTTATAACACATAATTGCGAGTTTATATGTCGAAATTCTGCCATCTTTTCTCAGAATTGTGAGATAAACTCGCAATTGCGACTTATCAGGCCAATTCTAAGGGGAAAAAAAGACTAACTTTTTCCCCCCTCAGAATAGTTTACCTCACATTTCTGACTTTATATCTCGCAATTCTGACTTTATATCACCCAATTCTGACTTTATATCACGCAATTCTGACTTTATATCTCGCAATTCTGACTTTCCATCTCGCAATTGTGAGAAAAAAAGTCAGAATTGTAAGATAAAAAGTCGCAATTACCTTTTATATTTTTCATTCTATGGCGGAAACAAGCTACCATAGATTGCAGTTTTGATAATGTCTATTATAACCAGTGCAACCAAGACAAAACTCAAGCCGAGATTCAAATAATTCCCAAAGGCAAAACTAAAGACTTAATTTTCCAGTGCTTTTTATGGTTGCAAATTTATGTGACAGGCCCAAATTGTTTTGAAAACCATAATCTCATTGGTAGTGACTGGGGCTACATTGTGTTACTAAATTAAGAAATGGCCTTGGGGTGGAAACACTCCCAAACACTCCTCCAAATAGGGCCACTCTTATCGAAGCAGGCTCACAGATAGCAAGAAATGGCTCTTTCAACCATAATTCAAGTAATTTTCTGTCTATTCAAAAGGTGGACAGGAGGAAGATGCAGCAAAAGTGCCAGAGCTTCACTAAAGTCGCATTTTCTCATTACATACCAGGACATAGAAAGTAGTGGGTCAAATATGGAGTCAGAATGAGGTTTCTGAGTGATAGATAGATGGATTGGTAGATGGATAGACGGTTTACCATTTCTGAATGGGTCACTGTCCTCACTGTCTTCTCCAAGCTGCTCGGAGGCAGTGAGAAAGTCTTCTTCAATGGACGAAACAGAGCGGTTGGTGTCATCTTCAGCAGCCCGCTGACCAGCCAATCGGCCATGTCTCTGCCTCTCTTGCCCTGACTGTAGTCCAATCAGGAATTTGTTGATCTCAAAAACGACACTGTTCGTTTGGTTAGGGCGGCGCCCACAGGAACAATGCACCAGACAGATATCCGCTGTTCTCTGGTTCTGAAATGTGCACACATAAACATACACGCAGTTTAACAAGGTAGACTGTAAGCTGTAAAATTATGTCAGTTGTTCCGGTCTATATTAATATCTCACCTGTGGGTGGCTTGGGTCATGCTGGCAGGAGTCCGATGACTCCAGGCTGCTGAGAAGCAGAATCTCATTTTCTTTGGGTTGCCTCACTCCGAGAGACTCAATTAACCGTGGCAGCTCTGGGCACACCGAGGCCAGTTTCTGTGGGAAAATGTATGCTAATATTCAAGTCACATAAATGAAGGTCCTTGCTGGCATTATCTTGGTAATTTGTATTGTTTCTAATTTCCCTTTTAATTAGATGAAACATTGTTTATGTTGCACGCTTAGGAAATGATGAAAGACATTCATTTACTTTAGAATAATTGAATGACTTGCAATGAGAGGGTGAAGGGGATAGGGTATTTATATGCATATTAATAAAAAACAGTCAACTGGGAACGATAAAACACTAGACTATTTATTAGTGATAGTTTAAAATTGAATGATTTTCAATGGTAGATGCTTTTTATCCAAAGCATTACTAGTATATGCTGTCTCTGGGACACAAGCCCATGACTTTGGCATTGCACAGCTGAAAATAAAGGAATGGTAAATGGACTGCATTTATATAGCGCCTTCATAGACCTAATGGCCACCAAAGCGCTTTACATTTGCCTCACATTCACCCATTCATACACTCATTCATTCACCGACGGCGGTGTCAGCCATACAAGGCGCCATCCAGCTCGTCGGGAGCAGCTGGGGTTAGGTGTCTTGCTCAAGGACACCTCGACAATTGGTCAGGTGGAACCGAGGATTGAACCACCAACCTTTCGGTTCGTAGACAACCCACATGAACCACTGAGCCACTGCCGCCCAGGAAAAGGGTAAAGGAAAGGTAATCTCCACCCACCTTGATGTAGCTGTCGTCATGTCGATCAGGGGGATGTCTGTCCAGGTTTACAAAGCAGATCTGAGAAGAGAGAGGCTGATCTTAGAGAAATAGCACCTGGTAAAGTAAGGTAAACTATCTGTATTTTTGTAAACAAACACAGCGTATCCAAAGTTATACATGTAACAGCTAGTGAGAGCTATGCAGGGTAAAACTCACTCCCCTTCACTTTGAAATTAAATTTTGGTATGGTTTAGCTTACCTCAAAGGCATTCAAGATGTAGGTGTCTTTGTTTCTGCAGTAGTTTCAATTTGATATTTTTAGGTCAAACCGTTCTTATCTGTCAGTCATATAATGGAGGTCTATGGTCACCACCTCAAAGAGCATGCACTGAGAAGTCCAAATTAAACATGATTTAATGACTCGTAAATGTAAGTACACATTGATGGCCTGAGACACGAAACGAGCGGTTTGTGTGAGAAAACAAACAGTATTTATATTGTTTTTACGTCTTGTAACCAAAGCCACAAAGTGCCCGCGCCCTCAGATCACTTGGACGTGACTGTGGTTATAAGAGGTAAAAACGATATAAATACTGTTCGTTTTCACACACAAACCGCTCGTTTCGTGTCTTAGGCCATCAATGTGAACTTACATTTACGAGTCATTAAATCATGTTGAATTTGGACTTCTCTGTGCATGCTCTTTGAGGTGGTGACCATAGACCTCCATTATATGACTGACAGACAAGAACGGTTTGACCTAAAAATATCAAAATTGAAACTACTGCGGAAACAAAGACACCTACATCTTGGATGCCCTTGAGGTAAGCTAAAACCTACCAAAAATTAATTTCAAAGTGAACTTTCCCTTTAAGAGGTGCACTAGAGACTGAAGCTAGAAACTTCAGTCTTTAAGCCTCCTTGCCTGCCGGAGACGCCGGTTCGAGTCCCGCTCGGAGCAGGGCGAGTAGGACCAGAGGGGTTACTTATATACAGGACACAGAAGATTAGCTCTGAATACCTTCTCATTTATTGCAGCTCTCAAATGTCATATTTCATTCCACATATTCTTTTATTTACAGCGTCAAATCTGAAGCGTTGCCTAAAAGTGTCATTTTTGCATTGAATGTAGAAAATAATGATTTAAAGGAGAAATTTACAGTTCTTCAAGCAGCTTTGTATTGTTATCATGCCGGGTATAGGGTATGAAAAAAACAACAACAACAACAAAAAACCTTGTTCTACATATTGTCTGCACCCGGATCGACCTGCTTTTGATGACGCAAAACACGCCATTTTACACTCTCAGAAAAAAAAGGTACAAAAGCTGCCACTGGGACTGTACCTTTTCAAAAGTACCTAAAGGGTGCATATTGGTACCTTAATGGTTCATTTAGCCCCTAAAATGCACATATTAGCCCCTAAATGTCGACATTAGCACCTAAAATGTACATATTATCACCTAAAATATACATGTTATCACCTAAAATGTACATGTTATCACCTAAAATGTACATATTAGCACTTAAAATTTACATATAGCACCTTAGTGTACATATTATCACCTAAAATGTACATATTAGCACATTAATGTCCATATTAGCACCTAAAATGTATATATTAACACCTAAAATGTACATATTATCACCTAAATAGTATATTCAAGTTTAGTAATTTCACTTAAATAACAATTAATAGGTAATTATCATTGCCATTTAAGTGAAATCACTGAACTTAAATATACAAGCTTGATAAAAATGATCATTCTAGAAGAAAATTTCAAATGGCATTTAGAGGCTTTTGCATCTGAACTCTTCAAATAAGGCTGTAATGTACAGACAGCCAAGTTTAAATTTTGGTTCCTCACACAGAGCTACCGTTACCGACTTAGAAGTCAGTACATGAGTTACATGGACCGCTTTCATGGTAATTGACAGCTGTGTCACTATGAATTGACAAAATAAAAGCATACAGGTTTAGAAATACACAAGGATGAGTAACTTTAAGCAACTGCATATAAAACATCTCTTTCTCCCTCGTGTTTACAGAGCTAGAACAACAATTATTTTCACTTATCACTCTTAAGTGCTTTTTGACAAAGCTTTCTTTTTTTCTCCCGATCTCGTTCATCGCACATCACTCAACGCACACACACACACACTCTGCAACTAATTGATTCTGATGACTCATCAGTCTCTTAAAAGCATATTGTATTGCTAGTCGCATGCTTAACTCTAATATGTCCTTGTGGATGTGTGTGTGAGAGAGAGAGCTCTTCTTTTCCTCTTCACTTAAGACACTTAAGATCACATTAGTGACAAGGTTTTTGGGATCTGTGTGTTTTTCTGAGTGAGGATGGATTTCACTCTCAGGTATCCCAGATCCAGCACTTAATCTCTCTTATTCCAGCTGCTTACTTAATGCAACAGTAAATGATCTAGCACTCATCCAAGTATATTTGTATATGAACAGATATACTCTTTAGTGTATACTCTTTAGATATACTCTTTAGTGTATTAGAGAGAGAGAGAGAGAGAGAGAGAGAGAGAGAGAGAGAGAGAGAGAGAGAGAGAGGAGAGAGAGAGAGAGAGAGAGAGAGAGAGAGAGAGAGAGAGAGAGAGAGAGAGTAACCTGCCCTAATTGTCCTGAACTGTCATATTCACACATAAGAACTGATCTTGCACTGGTGGTTTGGAGTGTCTCAGCTGTCAGGTGGCACTATTAATGTATTGTGGTGCTGATGGGTGACACAGTCACTGCCTTTTTCTGACACACACACACACACACACACACACACACACACACACCTAGTAAACTAAATATATAAACAAATAATGCGAATTGTTAAAATAAATAGTAGGTCTAAGAAAATATGCATTGTGCTTGCCCATGCAAAAGATGTTGCCATGACGTTACCATGTTGCTGGTTTGCAACCGTTCTAATGGTTGCCAGTGTTTCGCAACCGTTCTAATGGTTGCCAGTGTTTTTATAAGGACTAACATTTTAAATACATATGATGCAAATTAAAGTTTAGATTTTGGGAAATAAGTTAATCTGTTTGTTACCAATTCAAAGCAATAAGGTCATTTTGGATACTGATTTGAAGTGTCATTCATGTCCATATAAAGAAAGGTTACATATCCATGAATGAGAAACAATAACAGAGACCACCACTAATAAAAAACTGGATTCCCTGAGCAGGGTTATAATAAAAAAAAAAATAAAGTACTAACTAAAAAGCTAAAAAAGTAGTTAAAATACAATAAAATAAATGTTAACTGAAAAAAAAAAATCTAACATCTCATTTTGTAACATCTCATTTCATCACGACCAATTCGTACGAGTGATTAAAAAGCGGATAATTCGTGCTAATTCACATGACCTCACTCGTACGAATTCGTACGATTTGTCTAAACCCACGTGACGGTTAGGTTTAGGGGCGGGGTCAGGGGTAGGTTATTCGTACAAATTCATACGAATTGGCCAATTCGTAAAATATGAACGAATTAGCAAAATCGTACTAATTCGTACGACCTCACTCGTACGAATTAGCCACCTCGTAAAATTCATACGAATTCCCGTGAGATCGGGTTGTCATATCATGATTATGGAGGTATCATGTCAGTCTTAGGCCGTGTGTCCACCAAAGCGCTTTTCCACGCGCCTTGCGTATGTTTTCAATTGTTTTCAATGGGAGCACCGCGTTTTTTAAATACCATGAGCGTACCGAGGCGCTGAGCGTTTTTTTCAAGCTGAAGCGCCGAGCGCCCAGCGTTTTTTACTGGTCGCTGGGAGTTGAAAAAAGTTCAACTTTGGATAAAACGCAGCGCTCATCACTGTCACTTTTTACCCAGCCGTCCAATCACAGTGGAGGAGGGGCGGGACTAATACCACACCGACCAACTGTCACAACATTCAACTGCTGCGGATATTCTGTATCATAGCAACGAAACGTCTCAACGGAAAAAACGCTGCACTGCCAAAACGCTCTCAAGCGCCCAAAGCACGGCGTCTTCAGCAGAGCGTCTAGCGTTTTCAGCTGGCTAAAAACGCTTTGGTGGACACACGGCCTTATGCACGCCCCTTCAAGTAAAGTGTTACTACAAAAACTGAATTACTATCAGTAACTAAAATTTAAATGAAAAATATAAAAATAAAAACTATTTCAAAATCTTAATCAAAACTATAATAGTATCTCAATGATACAAATATAGTGGGTGTCTTCCTGGTGAAATTCCTATGACTACAATACAATCAACGCATTACAGATCAAAACTCAACGCGACACACAGTTACAGCGTGACCACAGCAGAATTTGCTGCAGGTTTAAGGTTAAGAGAGGTGATTCACAGGAGAATAGTGATGTTATGGTGATGACTTTACTCATTAAATCAGGATATTAAATGAAACTGGAAAAGGAAACAGGGTGAAGGTGACAAAAAGGGAGTTAGCAACTGAGCCTGAATTAGATTAAATTTTGGAAATTTGCATCTCACTCGCACATTACAGAACACACTCCTCTCGCTTGCTCATTACTCCTGCACACCGACTGCCCATCTGTCTGTATGGATTTCTGTAACACACTCCGTCAGTGTACTTACACACAACAACAGTTTTCGCGTGTCGTTTCATTTGTGTGTAATAAACACGCACCCCAAACCACTACTAAACCTTCCCTAACCAACCCATGCACGTAAAAACTCACTTTAGCGTATAAATTGCACGATAAACACACTGCCTGCTGCATTTAGATATTCTTTCATCAGGAAAAGTAACAGCAGATAGGCAGGATCTCCCAAAAGATAAATAGGTATCACCTTGTCACACAAAATCTTCTTTTACAGTGCAGTCTTAAAATATCTGTTTAGCTTGGAACTGGCGAATGCACGTGTGTTATGAACATCCCTGGCCATTTTATGACGACAACCGTAAATCTGTCTTTCACACACGGCTTGGACATTCAGGGAATAAATATCTACTTTTCCGGTTCAGGTCATCCATTGAGATGACAGATGGCTGTTTTATTTCGATCTACGGCTCGGCATACCATAAATCCGGACACGATCTCGTGGGCTTC